TATATATATATATATATATATATATATATATATATATATATATATATTCCCCTGTCTTATTATTCTCATATGCAAAGATAAATCAAATAAGACGTAAGACATTTATTCTGAGTAGATGATGCTTCCGAACACTTTAATTTCTTAAAGTTGACTGCCCGGTCCAGTCCGTTCCTGCCATCTGCTGGACAAAAATCAAGTTGCAAGTAGGATTTCACCCACGTGTCAGATTGCAAACAGTATGTAAAATATAAAAAAACTGTTTTATTATAATTTAAATATAATTCATGTACAGGTAACATCACAAATTAATTTAAAATTTATAATATGGATTTGCACATTTATTGGCCACTGATAAAACTGATCATACGTTTATCATGTGTTTGTTTCTCTGTTAGCAAAATATCTTGTGCATTTTCGTGAATCTCTCAGAAAGTAATCACTAGATCCCCATCTACAACTGATCAACTTTTTAAGATGGCCGCCACAGCTAAGCAACCAAACACAAAAATGGTTGAAACGCGTTCAGTTTTAAACAAATGTAGATTGGAAGTGGTGTGGTAGTAGCTGAGAATCATTCGCAACGCGTTCTCTGAGCGGTGACGCAGTTTGAGAATGTTGCATGAGTTTGAGCAGAACGTGGTTTGTAAGGTTTGGAAAATGAAGGCAGGTCTAAAACCTCTGTCCTCTCTCGTCACAAGATCTTAGTTTAAAATAAATCCGTCATGGAAGCATTCCTTTAAGGAATGCCGAGTCTTTAATATTCTTTCATGGTTTTCCTAAACTTTTGCATAGGATTTTTCTTCGTGGTTAAATAAGCATTTGTCTTTGTTTTAGTCCAAGTTAACAACTGGGTTCTAAGACGATTTTCATTTGTTTTATTTCTGTTGTGTTTAACGTTCTGTGTCTGCTGCACATCGATGACATTCTGTGTTTGTTTGGACTTGTGTTGAGTTTTTTCTTTGTTTCTCCATTTTGCTCTACAGAAGGAGGTGAGGCAGGAGTCAGAAAAGACGAGCTCTCAGGAAGTCACCCTTCCCATATCTATAGTCTACGATGACACCGACACACTAGCTCATCCCAGTGTAAGTAATCACCAGCAAAACTGCTGTTCTACACCAGACTTTTTAAACCATTTGTAAGCAACTGAGAATTTATAATTCTCATTCAGAGCTAAATCTTGCTTCTTGTCATTTTATTGACCTTTTTTATGAGTGCGATGCTCGACTAGAAAGATTTACGACCAAACTTTGTACACCTTCCTTTTCAAAATACCAGTACTGCCACTAACACTTCTGCTATTTTCACCGTCCCTGCATATTTTGATCCAGTGCAGTATACCAGTTTACGCTTTTCCTAACATCGTCTCCTCCTCTGCCTGCAAACCAATGATGAAAAACGAGAAGGAAAAACTTTAAACTCCAATAACGCTCCCTGGGGCATCCCAGTCATCTATCTCCACTGGGGAAACTAAGTTATACCCTGATGTATGCAGATAACCCACTCACATTGATGCACAACACCCCCCAGCCCACACACACACACACACACACACACACGTATTCATACACTGTTAGACAGGCTGATATATGGTAGCAATATGCCCCAGGCGAGCCCCGGCCCCAGATCCAGCTCCAGCTCTACTTCCAATTAGAACAGATGAGTCCCATTAGCCCGGTTCAGATACTGTCATCCCACACACACAGCCTCATTAGCACCATGACACCAGCTCAGGGCCGACAGACAAGAACTCACTGGTGTTGAATGTAACGCACAGATTACAGGCAGTGTAGCTGTACGCCGCGTAGGTTGGAAATGACGGATGGACGGGCTCGGAGTTACTCCACCATCTGCATAGTAATAGACACATCACCACCCAGATGTACAGTATGTACACATCAGCAGCATGTCAACATTATCAACCCCCCCGCCATCACCCAAACACATGCAGAGAATGTAGAAATAATCTGACATTTGTCCCCGATGTCTCAGTGCCCTGCGTCTCTGTCACTGTGTCACGTCCTACTGAGCAGATGCTTTCATTCATCAGACACCGTTTTATAACCTCTTCCAGTCCCCATCATCACCACTGGTGATGGGCTGCATTAGAAACAAGTAGCATGTGCAGGCCTTTTTCCAGGAGCACCTGGTTGGATGAGTTCCATGTTGAAATTTCTCAGGTGCGTTATGGACCAAACCAAAGATGCACACGAGCTACACCTGTCAGTGTAGGATTAGAGCTTCACGTCTGTGTCAGCAACTACACTGAGCCCACAAATGAGCTGCAAGAACAACTGAAGTGTACTTATAGGGATTCATCGCTTATAAAACTACTGTCTTATGAACTTAACTTAGTTAGAGGCAAAATGGACTTTTTATGTATTATGATAAACAGATGGAGGAACCACTAGTTCATATAGGATTATTATTAGAAGTCTTTGTGTGCATTATTTCAAAATGGTATACAGTAGTCCCTCGTTTATTGTGGGGGAGCCGTACCCTGAAGACCCGCGATAAGTGAAAAACTGCAAAATAGGAATAGTAGAACAAGTAGTAAGTAGTAGTTTATTTTAGTATTTATATAAAGGTCTTTTAAACCCTTCCCACACTCTTGCAATATTCTAAACGATGTTTCTAAACTTTAAACGCTCTAAAAGAGCACAGCATGTCATGATTTCAGCTTCCTGCCTCGTCTACTCTTTGCCACCAAACATTCTTGGCCACGCCCACTTCTCCATTCTGCACAGAGAACAGCTGATCAGCTGCAGCAGGATGTTTATCCTGCAGTAAGGGCTGCACAAAGGTGCAGCAGGTGCTAAATAATTTAAAATAATTTATTTTAAATAAAAATTCCACGCCGAGCGAGCGGCTCATCCATCGATCAGCCAATTGTGTGTCATGTCCAATATTATTTTGAAAAACCACGATAGAGCGAGTCCGCGCTAAACGAACGGCGAAGTAGCGAGGGACTACCATAAAACTAGAATAGCTATTTCTTGGACTGATGTAAAGCAAAAAAGCAACACTTTCAGTCAAGTTTGGATTTTATATTTTCACTACAAGTATGCCAAAACATCTTGTGCTGCTGTATTCATTCATGCCCTTCTGCTCACTACAGACTCATGTTCGGGCTGCTGTTGAATACACTGTATTATTTTACATTATTTGTGTTTAGCATATGTCTTAATGTAAAGCTTAGATCCTTGTATACTGTTTCTTTTTATACTTTATATTTTTGCTATTTTTGGGTGTAACTGGGACCTTGAGTACACAATTTTGTTCCACCTCATGTACCACATGTGATGTGAATGACTATAAAGATACTTGAACTTGAAATACAATTACCATTTCAGAAAACTCTGAAAACTACACAGTTATATATATATATATATATATATATATATATATATATATATATATATGTATGTGTGTGTGTGTGTGTGTACACACACATTGGTGCCAGGACATCAATGTATTTTACAAAAGAAATGGCACAACAACAGAAAACACGTTTTGGAAAGCACGAGTATAAAATTGAAAACATAATAATCATAACATAAATTACAACTGCAAAATACAAATAAAAAACCATTCCAAATTTCCAAAATAATAACATCAAACAAAAAACACACACACAAAAAAAAAACTTCCAAAAAGCTCTTTGTTTTGCATAAATTTTCCATAAAAAAGTTTTTTTTTCCTATTTTTTTCTGATGTATATCTTTAGGTTTGTAGCAGAGCTGTGGTCATTTTTTTGCACCTTAATTCAATGTTCAGAGTTATGCACATAAGAAAATCTAAATGGTAAGGTTTTTTTTATCTTGTCAAATCTTTGACTTTTTGTCTTACTGCCATGTCCTCTGTCCTCTGTCCTACAGTTATTCATGGACAAGGAGAAAGCTGAGGAGCTGTGGCTGAACAGACTCATCTCCCTGCGACAGGAGAGGCTCATGGGAAGTCCCGTGACCTAAAGAAGACAAATGTTTCTTCACTTTCATTTCTCCCTGTTATAATTTTACTGCTATTAGAACATGGAGGTGTTCATTAGCAGGGGTCATGGGTAAAAATAAAATCCATCCCCTCAGTTTAATAAAGTGTCCACACTGAGCTGCTCTAACATGTGCAGCAGGTGTTCGTTTTATTTTCATATTGGACAAGGATGGAAACGCTACACCTGAAGAAGTAAGACGAAGGTTCTACAAGTCAGAATGTAATATTCAACATCAATAAAATACTTTTTAGGGGTGCACCGATTGCAGTTTTCTGGCCGATCACCGATTTCTAAATAGCCTGACCTGCCGATTCCGATTTTGGCCGATACCGATTTTGTTTGATAAGCGACACTGAAGTGTTATAAGGTCACAATGCACCTTCAGTGGATTTTTATGACCTCAAATTTTTACCATGACCCATGAAGGGGCTCAATATTTTCCACTTCTCTTAAAACGCATGAACAGTTTGTTGCTGTAACAATTATTTCTTCTTAAACAAAGGAAGAAATGTGAATGAAACTTTTGACTTTGGATGTCATTTTCCACTTCATATGTAACATTTGATGCATTATGTTTAATGTAATTTGTTTGATAATAACAGCCGTGAGTGGGTTTTTGTAACTAGTGCTTTTAAGGATGACTTGTAACAATTTATGTGCACTAAAATAAACGACATTTCTTTTTTTCACAAATAAACTATAGGTAGTAACTTGTTGCTTTACTGCAATTACAAACAAATATTCTGTATTTTGCTTACAATATGTTAAATTATTATTTTTAAATATGAGCGTTTCTGATGACTTCTTTTATATATGAATGTTTCTGTTCAGTGCCCTGAGACGACTTCTGTTGTGACTTGGCGCTATAGAAATAAACTGAATTGAATTTAAATTTTACCTCAAATCTTCAACACGACTCACATTAGCAACTCTATAAATAAACTTCCACCTGTGTTATAAAAAAAACACTACTTTTTAAATGTTTTGTCAGTGTTGTTTCAGATAGATTTATGGAAATGAGTCAACACACAAATCTATTTGTGGAACTGCCAGATGGTAAATTTATACTTAGTCTGGGATGTGGTGTCACTTTCATCCTCCAAAAAGTCAGTGTTGAAATGAAATAATTATTAAGATCGTAAAAGTGAGGTGCTAAATCAAACATGCACATTGACCTTATAGGTTGTGTAAATAGATAATTGCTCATATAAGTGTCCTCATATTCTTAAATGTCCAAATTATAGTTAGTAACCCAGTTATAAAACTATGATTCACTGTAGAACCGTAACATTTGATTTGATCTATATTGTGACATACTTTTTAATCAATGTGTTCATTTTATTCCTCACAATCTATTTGTTTTTACTTGACTACATTTTAAGCTTTTTAGATATGTTGCATAAACACTGCGTGGATTTTTTTTTTTTTTTTCCAAGATAAGCATAAGTCAAATTAAGGGGCGACGTGAACAGCGTAGATAAGAAAATTCGCGTTTATTTGAGAAATTTCTCGAGTTCCGTTGCCATGGCAGCCACACACACAACACGCAGCACGTGGCTGGAACTTTTTCGAACGCGCCTCATAAAACAGCCAATGAATGAGGCGCGTTGGTGTCACGTGGCCGGTGTCACAGTGACTGCTTCTTACTGCCTTGGTTAAAGTGGGGTCAAGCAAAGACGTGAGAAGACGCGACGGACTAATTGCAGGAATTATCAAGTCGCTGTTTGCTCGCAGTATGCTGAGGGAATTTGATGAAGATCCGTTTTTTTCGTGAGTAGCTTCACCTGGTTATTGTGCTTAATTGTCTAAACTTAAGTCGGCAATTTATTCTAAATTCTGTTTTTAGCCTCTTTGTGGCAACAACAGCGATAGACGTAGCCTAACTTAACAATTATATAGTTGTCAGTTATTTATATTTGTAACTTATTAAGCCCCTGTTGCTGCTTAAGACCTTTTTATTTATTTTTTTATTTCGTGTGTATGTGTGTGTGTTGATATTTTTACTGTAAATGAAATAAAGGGGGTGGGGAGAAAACTAACCGTTACCTATCCTGATGCATGCTCAACCGTTTATTAACAGTTTGCTAACCGTTACCTAGCAACAGCTGCGGGTGCTTTTAGGCTAGCATAGCTAGCTGCAAGTTTTTAAAAAGTAATATTTAAGAGTTAAATGTTATATTAGTTTGTCCATCTCTTTACATTTTATAATTTCATACAACTGCGTGTCGGTGAATATTTAAAGCTCCTGAACAATTCAGAGCTAAACCACTGGTAGTTTGTGTTTAAAGTTCACTCTGTTCCATGAGCAGATGCCTGCAGAGGTAATGTGGCTACACGACGCAACTTCTGAGTCAAGTGTTAAGGGTGGCTAAAATTATGTTAGGGCTGCTTCTTATTTCAGCCTGCTGTGTCCAGTGAAGAATTTACCCCTACTTATGAGCTTGATGGAAGTGACAGGAGTCACGGGACATTATAGAATTGTCCTGTTTAAAATTTCTGTGAATATTGACCTCTCTTATTTCTCGTTCTCTCTTACAGGGATCCATTTCGAGCACATGGAGACCATATGAGGCAGATGATGCGCAGTTTCTCTGAACCATTCGGTGCACCCTTACTGCCCAGCATAACGGATGGGAGAAACCCTGGACGCGAGATGACGGAACATCCTAGTTCGTCCCTTGCACTGAGAAGTGGACACAGGGTGAGAATGTGCTCCTCCTTTTGCAATCTGAACTCAACTAATAAGGAGCTTGATGATAGTTCTCGCATGTAACTGGTGTATAAACATTATTTAGGGACAAAACATCCAGCTTAACACTTCTGTTTGATCCCATTGAAGTTCTCATGGCCATACACCCCAAACGATAGTGTTGGAATGAAGCACTGGCTGGAACCCAACCACTGGAAGTGTAACGGAAACTCACAGAAGTGTGGGGCCATGTTGGTCTCTGGTTTTGCAGAAAGGCAACCCCTTGGCCTCTCTGGACCCATATCTAGCACTGAGAAAACCTATTTATAGTGCATTGTTCCTCTAACATTAGTTTCTTGTAAATGCACAGACATTGTTGACACAGCTATAGAGCCTCTGAGGATTCAGCTTTAGCCTGTTGGAGATGGTGCTGATAATAACGACAATAATAATTTTTAAAACTTTTTCAATTTAAACTGTCAATGTATATTCCTAGATGTCCCATGAACTCAGAATCTGACTGACTTCAGACATACGGTGCTAACAGTAAAGCTGAAACATTAGAACAGGTCCAGGTGTGATGATTGGAGCTTGCTCAGATCATTGTGTTGTTAAACTCACCGGCTTAGAGAGAGGTATTATATCCAGGCAGTGATATAAATTTGATCTGCTACTATATAGCACTCACGAACATTTCCAAATGTCCTCTACTGCCAAGTTATTTGTGTTAAGTCAAACTTAGTCACGGTCACCTGCTTTAATCCACATCTCTTGGGAACCTGTATATTTATCTTTGATAATGGCATACATAAAAAGCACAGTCTCAGTCTTGAACAGCGTTCTTTTTCTTCACGATATAACAGTTAGTCCGAGCGGGACCGAAACCTTTGGATTTCTGGCATCAAAACAACTCTAGTCTCAAAAATGCATAGACATTCATGCAAACGTTTTGTTTTTTGATGATCCACAAGCTGATGGGGTGGAGATATAAATGTAAGAGCTTTGCAAAATAAAAATAAATTTACACAAGCTTAATAGCTCCCACATTTCTGCAGTCCTTTATTTTCCATAAATAATAATAGCCATACTACTAATAATAATACTCATTGAACCAGTAGTTGTTGTTTATTTTACTATGAGGGCAGATGCTTTTAATCACCAAAAAAAAAAAAACCTGCTTTCTGACATCATGCCCTTTCAAGTCTCAGAAGATAAGAAGTTCAGACCCACAGTGGTCATAAGGCTGAAGCTGTGGTGCTTTGTAACGGCATGTTCTGTATGTTCACATGTCCCGGGCACTCTGCTTCTCATTGTTGCTCTTTTTGTCCCATCTGTTTCACAGAACTTGGCATCGCTTGGTACATTAGCAGCTAGATGACAGACAGCTCGCTCTCAAGCTGTTCTCTAGTATTACAGAGACAAATGTGCTTGCAAACACACACACACACACATATGGCATTAAAACATGTTCTCAAGTAAAGTGACACACAGTTTCACTTTGCAATATTTATATGTACTCAGTGGGACATGTATACACACATGCACACATTACTGACCACATATTTTTGAAAAGTTATACCTCTGGGGATGACAAATATCTGTCTTTCACGTCTGCTGAGCACTCAAATATATCTGTCATATTACCTTTCATAAGTGTCAGATGAGGCACTTGTTTACAAAAGTACTGTTAAAGAACAGCATAATCCAATTTCAAAACAAGTATAAAAATAGGTCAAAGTAAACAAAACACAATACAAAGATTGTTAAATTGTTTTAATTATGAATTTAACATAAAGTGGATTAAAAATAACTTGCTTGACATCAGCCACTTATAATATTTGCTGGTGCATTTTCATTAAAGGAATATAAAAATATTTAAAATATTGGGGGAGAAAACAAAAACCTTTAAAACATCTTACAGATGATTATTTGGATTGTGCATCTGTAACATAACTATAAACAGCTTTACAGGAAGTCTTTCTCCATGTAAATTGTTCATACCCTTTATGTTATGTTAGATTATTTAAAGATCACAAGATCCTAAAGAAATCTGTATGTGTCTGAAACAAGACCAAACATTTGGTTTTAGCTTGTTTATCTTTCAGAGCATCTGATGTTTGTTGACTATGAAAATGTTATGTACATACAGTATATAAATACTCTGCCCTCACCCATCTTGTTCTGATAGCGTATTTATCATTAGAACGTCCTGATTTGACAGACATTATTAATCCAGGCAAAGTTTGACAGCTGTACAGCTGTGCCACGTTAGGACTGCAGAGTGAGTCCAACCGATCCCAGAAACAACCCCACAGGTCTGAACAGAAGAGCTCTTTCCTAGAAACAACTGTGCAGAACCCTTAAGCTCCCGGGCTTCTGGAGGAGTACCAATCTAACGATGAAGTAGGGCACACTGGATGTTGGTATAATTGTAGACTTTGTTGAAAATGCTGCAAGTTTTTAATCTAGGAGAAAAGTTGATCAAATTTAAAACCTGTCTCAGTCATGTCACACCTCTTGTCTGCTTCCTCTGTTTGCAGCCGCTTCTCTTTTTATGCTCAGTCTAAATATAAAGCACACAGATGTGTATGTGGCATTTATTAGTTCATAGATGGAAGTGTGGGGTAGACTTGGCAGTTCAGGAGTGTTCTGCATCAGCTTGACCTTTGAAAAGAGCTGAGAGAGCAGCCTTGCACTCTTCAACCCCGCTTTCCCGTTAGACCCCCGACCTGAGTGGTCCACCCTGCCCACTGCAGCCTTCCCAGAATGAAGCTCACTCACGGTGTTAAACCCACTCTAATCTCTGGCAATGCAACCCAATTACACATGGAACACAAGTCATTCAACACCCCACTGATTACACACAACAACCCTGCACATCACGCCCCCAGAAAATACCCCTGCACAGTTGGGATGCTTATCTGGGGCCACGGGGGTCACAAACACCTGTGGTCTTGGCCCACAGTGTAAATGCTGGCTTTGGGTACAGTGGGGATGATCTGGGTGGGGTGGGGAGGGCTCCCTTCATACTCACTTCTTGGTGGCTGCAACTCTAGAAAGTTTGTGGCCTTGAAAATCTGCCTCATACTGTGTGTGTGGAGCCGTATGTGTGTCAGGAGCTTATGATTGATGAAAGACAACTTGGCCAGAGGTCAGAGAAATAGTTAAATGGTTGTGATCATTTATGTCTATAGAAATGTAAAAAAAAAGAATGCAATATAAAAATGCCAATAAGTAATTTCATGTATTTCATTTATTCTGTGCAGGAACAATTACCTGGTTGTATAATGTATCCTGAACCGTTGAGAATCTAAGAATATTTAAGGATATTTTCAAATACTACACTCAAATATTATACATCATGATTTAAAATTGTTTTTCATTAAATGTATGTGTGTGTGTGAGACACATAGATATTTCCTTGCAAAGTGGGTTATATAACAAAAGTGGTGTTTTTTGTTTTTTTTATCAGGATATGAGCCGATCAATGTTCCCTTTTGGCAGTACTGACAACACGGTAAGTAAGAGCCATCTGCTACAGTTACCTCCATCTAAACCTGTAAAATACTGACAAAGTACATGCTCGTAACTAACTGCATGTTTCTACAATTTATTTACCGGACTGTGACTCAAATGGTCAATGGGTTCCAACTGCAGCTGCTCTGAATTTACACCTACTGTATGTATCAATGGAAGCACGTCTTATTGTCAACAGGTAGATGGAACTGGACCCATAGAATCCTCTCAGAACGTGCAGTGTGTTAGAAACTAAACTGTATATGAAATGTGTAAAGTTCTGACTGAAATAACTAAAAAAAAAAAACGTTTTTCTAAGATTTATAGAGAATCTGTTAAAAACATTTTGTCCAATAGAAATCAGTGAACATAAAGCATATTTAACATTAAACTGATTCTTGTAGGAACACAGTGATTATCATCAGTGAGTTGCTTCTTGAGATTTGGGAAACTCAATATTAACCAAAACATTTCAGCATCATCCTTATTCCATATTAAATGAAATCTGAAGGTGGGGTGATCAATGCTGTTTTAATTTAACATGCATGGCCGGCTTAGATTGAAAAAATGAGAAGATTGTTATTGGACTCTTGCTTATTTTAAAAATGGCTTTATTTTTATTTTTTATTAACTCAAACTTTTTTTTTCTAAATTAATTGATTCCAGATTTTAAAATGCAACCAAATCTAATTTATGAAGTTAATGCCTTTAACTCAGTTCTGAACAATGATTACTGATGTGTTTGTTTTTTTGGTAAAAAAAAAAAAGAAAATGCATAAATTGAGACAACCTTTAGCTTTCTACTAGAAAACCCTCTAAATAAAAACCAGTTTTCATGTTACTTTTGGTGATGTAGTCATAAATGTGTTAATGGCCTGTCTAATGTGTTTGCATATTTGTTTATACCCATGATACCTCTGTTTATGACCTGGTAATGTAGACTGAGTAGCTGCTTGACTCAACTCCTGTCACTTAAAGTTTACTTTTTCCTTTTGTTCTTGCAGGACGTCATGCAAAACCCTTTTAGCATGTTTGACAACATGATGTCCAATGTGAGAAACAAGATGGAAGAAATGCACCGAAACTTTGTGAGTGTACTCGGTTACACCCACGCCTGGATTCTCACACTGTCGTGCTTTTAAATAAGATGTGATTGCTAAACAGCATCTTTGATCGTGTATGCTTCAGGGGAACACGTCCACAGATCCAAATACCCACTCATTCAGCTCCTCATCAGTAGTGACGTATTCAAAAGTTGGAAATGAGCCTCCTAAGGTCTTTAAAGCGGTGTCATCAACTCGTCATGCTCCAGGAGGGGTATGTTACAGTTTTATTTCAGACTACTACAAACGCTTCACTGTTTCCAACTCTGAAAAGCAAATCTGCTGTGTTTGTGAAGGTTTTATCCTGATTATCTTCCCCAGATCAAAGAGACCCACCATGCAGTTAAAGACTCGGAGAGTGGTCTGGAGAAGATGAAAATCGGGCATCACATCAAGGATAAGGGGCACGTCGTTGAGAAGAAATACAACAAGAAGACCGGAGAGAAAGAGCTCAACCAGGACTTTCAGAACATGGATGAATGTACGTTCAAGCATTTTGAACCCAGTTCTGTTCCACTATGTCTTCATGGTTCTGCCTGATGTTCCCCCTGCAGCTGAGGCACACTTGTTTTATGACGAGTGGCAGCAGGAGTTGTCCAGATTTCAGTCGTCACACCCCATGTCTTGCCTGAGGGAGCCTCCACCCTGTGCTGCCCACCAGGCAGCCCTCCCTGGTCCTGAGCCTGAGCCCCCCCACAGGTCAGTATTCAGACCACATGCAGCCTTCATGTGCACATCAGGATCAGATCATGTACATGAGTTCTTTAAACAACACGGTTATTGTGACAGAAGACCAAATTTAGCTTGTGAGTCTTAATTTGATGTTTTTGTTGTTTTGTTTCCCACAGAGATCAGCAGAGACGCAAAACTGGACACAAAGAGAAAACGAAAGGCTCGGGCAACACAATGCAATAAAATCATCCGGGTTGTTTTTTTCCACCTTTTGTGTTTTTATTAGTCATTCAAGCATCTTCTGGCTCTCTGGGGTGCCTGTCACACACAGTGAAATTAGCCTAGCTTGTTTTTATTAGTAGATTAGTTAATGTTGTGTTGTATTAGTTAGCTAGCTGTGTACATTTAAAATCACTAGAGCACTATGTACAGTTGTGTTTAGATCAGTGTTGTCTGTGTAAATAAGTACAACAGATCAAATGGATTTAATTATACCATAGTGGCTTTCTCTTGAAGCTGCAGACAAAAAGTACTTAAATTTAGTATTTTAAGCAAAACTCATGTAGAAGTTTTGAAGAGAAAGAGGCGTAAATGTTGTTTATATATATATATTTTTTTTTTCTTTTGATCACCATTACTTAATTCAACAAAAACTTTCTCATACAAACTCTTAATCAGTATTAAATTATTAAACGATAAAAAAAATGACGTATGAAATCCACAAATGTTCATAGAAACAGTTTTGGCTTGTAATTATGTCTACACCAATACGTCTAATCTTGTATCGGATTGTATCTTTGGAAAAAAAAAAAAAAAAAAATCACATTACTCCTTCCCTTTTTATAGTTGTTTTGCATCTGCCGAACTCTGTCTCTAGACGAGTTACTCTTAGTGAGTTTCATTCTTATATATTTTTACACATTAAGTTTGTCAGCACAGGATGGTTAATAAAAGTTTAATACTAAGTTGTGCTTTTTTTTTTCCGTTAACTGGTTTTCTACCAGCTTGACGTGAGATCTCTTCTGTGCAGCAGTTAAACTGTAGTGCAGCTATACTTAGTTTATAAGAGCAGGGGGTTATGCTCTGACGGTCCTCTGATGCCTGGTGGTGACCCTGGCTGGTATTTTTGGATGTGAGAAGCTGTCAGTAGCTCACACTGCTCTGAAATGTTACACAGCTGCAGGCCCCGCCATGCTCCCCTCTCATGTGCCATTAAGACTTCGTCTGTTCCTTTTCTTTAATACGCCAGAGATAAAAGTGCATTACCTCTGATCAGTACATCATTTGGCTTCGATGGACTACATTAGAACATTATTTCTAATACAATGCAACATGATTGTTACAGAATTACTGTAAAAACCAGCTCGACTTTTGCTCCATGTGAGCCGACCTAATTACAATAATACCTACACTTGTTGCGAAGTTCATGTTTTTAACAAAGCTGCATTAAATTTGTTTTAATGTTACAGCTACACAGTAGAAGATACGTAAAAATTGTTTGCACATTTTAATTCCACACCAGTTGATGTTTTTTCCATACTTAATAATAGGAAATATATTTAGAAAGGTTTTATTAGTCAATACAAATACTGGTATGTTACAAAAGAAAATGGTGCCTGCAACTCTGTCGCCACCTGTTGGTCACTAAATAACAAGCTCGTTTACCACCAATATTTACAAAAAAATACAACTTCAAAAATAAATCCAATAGATTTCTGCACAAGATGCAAAACGATTTGGAATATCATCAGTCCAAGTCTACATGATCCCCTGATGTTGTCCCTTTCCTGCGATCTTCTTGGAGCACTCCAGTAACGCAGTGTGGATATCTTTGGCACAGGAGATCTGAGACTTGATCATGCTGAGGTACTGGGCATAAGACATGGACTCTGTCTGCACAGTGTCGGGCTTGGTGGCTGTTGGGACCAGGTTGGGGGAATGTTTGGCGCTGTCGATGCTCTGTGAAAGACACTCGTACGCCAGACGCTGCAAATGAAGAAAAATGTTGTCAATTTGTGCAGCGCGTTTTAAAGGACTTCACGTTAACGAGTCTAAAAGTTCAAATGCACTGACGCAAGCAAGAAAATAAAATCGCAAGTGTAAAAACTAAGAAATCTGCAAGGAATACACAACACTGATGGACAAAAATCATTTAGTACTGGTAAGTCATACACTTTCAGGTGCATCTTTACAAAAAATGAAATATGAACATTTCTATTTTTTTGTCATTTATTTCAGAAAGTGAAATTCGTTATATTGATTTGTTACACATGCTACACAAGCCTTTATTGCTTGTAATTTTGATGATTATGGAACTTGCATAGCTGCCCGCTGCTCCACTTGGGTTAAATACATTTCATCATTGTATAGAAACAGACAATGATGACAACACATAGTACTCTCTTCTGTTTCAAATAATGGGGAAAAAAAAAAACAGAATTCAGTGTCTCAGAAAATTAGAATATTCCACAGCCAGCTTTTGGCAGTGTGGGCAGGAGCCAAGTCCTGCTGGAAAATTACATCAACATCTCCATAAAGCTCATCAGCAGCAGGAAGTCTCTAAAATATCCTGCTAGATGCTGCGCTGACTGTGGACTCCAGAATACACAGTGGACCAACACCAGCTGAGGACATGGACTGGGTCTAATGATACATTTTTTATGGACACCAGCTCATTATGGTGTTACAGGAAATGAAATGGCAGATAAAGCTGCAAAGGAAGCCACTAGAAATCCATCAGTGGATTTAGTAGTTAATTTTAGTAAAATAGAAATAAAACTTTTAATAAAACAGAAAATGAAGGATAAATGACAAAAGCTATGGGAAGAAGAAAAGAAAGGACGCAAAAGAAAACTGGAGAAATGAGAAGTACAGGGAGGACGAGGAGAGGAGTTATTTCTCGTCTCAGATTTGGGCATACTGGGTTAAACAGCACTCTTTATTTTAGGGCAACACTGCACTGGTAAATGTGAGTACTGTGGAGCAGATGAGACAGTAGAGCATGTAATGTTACACTGCCAAAAGTATGAGGAAGAAAGACAACAGTTGATTCAAAATTTAATTAAAATAAAACTAGATTTAATTGATTTATTCAGAAATAACTCGAATAGTAAAATTTATCAGATAATCTTTCGTTATCTTAAATTAACAGTTATTTAAGAGAATTTAATCCTTGAGTGACATTTTGGTCCACACTCCTTACCAGTCGGTGGCAGTAATGCACCAATTTTGTTGTTTACCAACCGCCAATAAACCTCAAAGAAGGAGAGGAGGACATGGACCCAAACCATCGCCGACTGTGGAAACTTCACACTGGACTTTAAGTAACGTGGCAATTTCTGGGCCTCTCCACTCTTCCTCCAGACGCTGGGACCTTGATTTCCAAATGACAGGATACATTTTCTTTCATCTGAAAAGAGGACATTAAACCTCTGAGCAACAGTCCAGTTCTTCTTCTCCTCAGCAGGTAAGACACTTCTGACTTGTCTCTGGTTCAGGAGTGGTTGGACTTGAAGAACGAGACATTTTGTAGCTCATTCAATTCAAAAACACTTTATTAATCCCAGAGGGAAATTATTTGTTGTTGTAACTCGTTATCCTCATTTCATAAAGAGATGTTATAGATACTGATGGCTGTAGACAGGAAGGATCTCTTGTAAAGGTCCATCCCACAGTGGATCCTAAGAAACTGGTTGCAGATGCCATTCGATCCATCCACCCAGACTCGGCTGGCCTCTCGGTTCCCCCGGGCTGTAGGACCACCTGAATGCAGGGCAGAACTCCTCCCAGAGTGATGGCCACTCCTCCCAGCAGTCTGCTGAGCTCCTTGTTGCTGCGGACAGCCAACTGTAGGTGCTGAGAGACGATCCTGTCCTTCTGCTGTCATGAGCCATGTTTCCTGCTAGTTCCAGGATCTGTGGTCAGGCACTCGAGCACAGCTGGCAGGTAGATGAAAATGCGTCCACAGAACATCCTTTTCAACTCATTTGAGATTTGGGGCTGTAATTGAGATATTATTTGAGCTTTTGAGATGTTAATCAGCTGCTCCTGGTAGTAGAAAACTGTGATTATGTCTGTGTTGTAGTGTGTCAGGGGCAGCTTTGCTGTGGACATACGGACCAAATGTGTTATTTAAAACACGTACGGTCCCACTAAATGTAGTGAAAGTGGGGTGCAGCTTCGCTGTACCTTCACTACTAATTATTTAAATATAACGGGTTCTTTCTTTTTCGAGTTAAATTAATGCCATGTGACCGAGGTAACTGTGAGGATTGTTTAATCAGTGACAAGAGACGTTATTTTCCTTTGACCCATCAGAATAAATGCGGTCATTTATTTAACAGAATCAAAATTTAACATCAAAACATTGTACACTTGATTAGCTGATCTGGTTCTGATTAATAAAACTTGGCACGCTTTACTAATAAGACAACAAGACATTTCTGAAGGCATCTAGATTACTGGCAAACTAGAAGAGTTTAAAGGAAGGAGTTTAGAGGTTTAAAGAAGAGATGGATGAAGGGAGGTGTATGTTTGGATTGACCAGAATTGGCACGCTTCTTTCAATCACCAGCTCAAACCTCCGGTACACTTAGCGCGTGACGACTCGTTACCTTCGCAAGAGATAAATCAGCTCCGGTAACGGGTCCATTTCAACGCTACCTTCCAGCGTCTCCGGTTAGAGCGGCTGGTCATTGTCAGAAGTCGTGTCGATTCACTCCGTTCAACAAACAGGCTCAGCTCCCTTCGAAGTTGGAGGCGTTACACCCGGGTGGATTCACAGCCAGTCGCTGTGACTCCGTCAGAGATCCCACTCAGGAGAGGAAAACTCCAGAAGGCTTGAGAAGACTCCATCAAAGACTGAGTTCAACTCAGATCCAAGACTTCAGAAGAACTCAGAAGAACTTGAGAAGACGGAGAAGACCCAAGAGTAGACTCAGTAGACTGAGTAGTTCCAGGAAGTGTCGACTTTTAAAGAGTACTCACTTCCGGTCACTTAGGACTTCCTGATTGGTTGAAACAACTAACAGGGGGTGGTTCTAGTGATGTCAGAGGGTTATTAAAAGTCAAAAAGACAGCAGGAATGTTTAGGAACGTTTAGTACAGACATTGAACTGTTTTGAAGAAGTGAGAAACTTTGCAGGTGCCAGTTGCTCTTATTTACCGTCTGCGAGTTTTAAAAACAAAGCACATCGTTCCATAACTTGCTTTCTGACTTTTAACCGAGATCAAATCCACTCATTCAGACAGACGATCAAGATGCACAATTACTTTGTAAATAGACATTTAACTTGATTTCTAAGTCTAAATGAAGTTTAAAAAAAAAATCATTAATACTGTTTCACAGTTGATTTAAAATGAATGGTTCACTTCAACATTTAGAAATAGTATGAACTAAACACACTTTTGATTATCAAGATATTGTAAAATAGTAATGATAATATAAAAAGAAGAGTGTTCTTTCAATTGATTAATTCAGGATACAATTAAAAAGTCCACAGATGAGACATTTTGTATTTCAGGATTCAAATCAATGAAATAACAGTTCCTGTCCCATGAAGGTCTTCAGAGACAGGTCTTGACTGGAGGCTTAGTTCACTACACTGTCATGTCATGTGAACAGGGTGGGTCTAATATTGAACCTTTTCACAATATTGTAATTGTCTGAGACACTGAATTTCAGTTTTTCATAATTTTTAAAACAATATACAAAATTACAAAAAATAAAAGCTTGCAAATTTCACTTTATGTGTAATGAATCTATGTGCTAGGAGTTTCATTTTCCGAAACGAATGACAAAAGAAATTTTTACTTTTTCCACTATATATATATATATATATATATATATATATTTTTTTTTTTTTTTTTTTTTTTAAGAAGCATCTGTAAAGCAGTGGTTTCCAAAGATTGGGCTAGAAGGAGCCCAGGGGTCATGAAACACCAAGTGTGGAGTCTTGGGAAAATGTATGAAAGTCAAATGAACTGTGAAAATAATTTACAGTAGCATATTTAGCCTGGACTGTTACAAAAACTAAACATGGTCATAAATGCATAACAACTTGTAACTTTATATAATGTTTGACACAGCTCTTTCAGGTGGATCACCTGTAGACTAGTCTGGAATCCACTGCTTTGAGGACTGTTTTCATTGTTAAAAAGTTTGGCTTGTCTGAAGCAAATAAGGACTACCTAAAAAACAGAATGTATTATTATCCTCACATCTGACGATAGATTAGATTAATATATAGATATATTAATGTTCAATTACGTTTTGTTAATAAAAATTAAATAGGTCTCTCTTGTAAATGAGTCCTCGTGCCTCAATGAGCCTAACCTGTATAAATAAAGGTTGAATGAAAAACGGGGGTTTTGTTCAGTCTTACCAAACACAGCTCCACTTGATCACAAAGAGCATAAAACTCCTCTAAGCTTTTGTCGAAGCGTTGAATCGAAGTATCGCTGCTTTTACTGTGAGAGAGAAAAAACAAGAAGGAGAAAATCATTTTCAATCATTTCAAACTCATTGACACACACGATACACGAGAATCATCACTGATGCAAACCCACTGGAAACTTACATGCCGTTGTCAATTGAAGTGTTATGAGTCAAATTTAAGGCTGCAATCTTCATTAAGTTCTGAATATGAAAATACAATTAGAACAAGGACGTTTGTTAACAAACTACTTTATCCATAGACATAAGCTACCGCTTATTGTTTGTTCTGTCGTTAGCTTGATTAGTCTTAGTGCGGCGCAATTACCTGCAAACTCTCCTTCAGTTGAGGAATAAGCAATTTAAATCTGTGAACTGGATCGAAGTCTTGCTGTTGACTGAGTTGTTGTTGTTGCTGTTGTTGTATTGAAACAGCCTGTTGTAATCCGGGTTGAGACATCGGACCGCCAAGTTGCTGCTGCTGCGACGCCATCTTGACAATTTATTGTGTTATTACCCAATATCCGGTTCCTTGTCATTCAAAATAAAAGCCTTCACAAGCAACTGCGTCATCGCGATTTTTGTCAATCTTTACTGTAGACGTATCTTTATGTTTTTTTTTTAATACAACACACGTTTATACATTATTGTCTATTTTGTACTTAACGTTTTTATGTTTTTTTTATTTATTGTATTAACTGTTTGTTTAATACAATTTTATTCATGTTTTTAAATCATCATTTTGTAATTACTTGAGTAAATTATTTAATTTCTTTTTTTCCCTACTGCTTCTAAGAAATAAATTCGGGATGTTTATATTGTAAGCACTTAAGAGTTTTTGTTTTATAATTGTACTCAAGACAATAGAATATGGAATTGGAAAAATGCATTGTGTAATAAAACATTTTGAGACGTTTACAGAAAAAGAAAAAACAAAGAGAAAATATTTAGCCTCTGTACTCTTGAGTGCATTTAATCTTTTACTGGCATTCATATTTTTAAGAAGTTAACTTTTTTTTTTTTTTTTTTTTTTTAGTAAAACCACTGTAGCTTTTTTATCGGTGCGTTCTTGAACGCAGCATTAGCAGCAAAGGAGGGTGGACCCTGCAGCCTCAGAGCTCAGGCAAGAAACCCCGTAGTGCCGCACAGCAGCGCCATTCTAAAACTGCAGCAGAATCCAAAATGGCAGGAGCTGATGGAGACGACTCTCTATATCCTATCGCCGTTCTTATTGATGAACTGCGAAATGAAGACGTTCAGGTTGTGTCTATAGTTTATGAATTACATTATACTTACATCTGACTTAAATAGTAATGTTTTAGCCAGGCATCTGGATGCGAGTTGTCATATTAGCAAACATGCTAGCTAACTGAGGCCTGTCGGGAATGTTCTGTCGGGCGTTCTTTGCTTGAACCATCGTGCGTTTTCTTGGAATTTGCGACAAAAATGTATATTCCGGACCCATGGGTTAAAGCGTATTTGATTAGTTAGTGATTACATGGGTATTATCATCATGAGATTTATTGTACGTATTGTTAATACTAACCACCCAGGTTGTTGATTCAACTGCTAACATTTTTATTGCATCGTTAGCATGTGTCAGGACGACAACCAAGTAAATAAAGCTAAACTCAAAACTAAGTTCAATTTCATAGTGGGTTGAGTTAATTTCTCAAGTTTCTCGTTTCTCTTCAGCCAGTGCAAGTCTAAGATTGTCATCATTGTATGTTCCCATACAATGGCGAAATTAGATCTCTGCATTTAACCCATCACACCTGGGATACACCCAGGTGGAGCAGTGGGCAGCCATGTATGTAAGCGCCCGGGGAGCAATTGGGGATTGGGCGTCTTGTTTAATACCTGAAGATCAAGATATCGTGAAGATCTGAAGCTGTCCACTTTGATTTCTTTGAATAATTTTGAACATTTGATAATGTCCATAGAAATATCAAAGCAAACGTGTGCTTGTTTTTAGTATTTTACCGTTTTTATATATAGCATCTTGATATGACTGTGTTTATAACTTTATTTGATTTAAACCGCTTTTTGTTGAATTACTGTTGTTTGTACCTTTTCGTATGTTATCTGTCTAAAACGGGTCTCTTGAAAATGAGTCCCTGTGACTCAATGAGACTAACAAATATAAATAAAGGTTGAATGAATGAATGATAGTGACTGGCTAGCTAATTACTTAGCAAGCATCTCATCAGCATTGTAATGCTTCTAGCAAATTCTGTTATTAATGTATTAATAGACTAACAGTTCTGTTCTGGTGGTTGAATGTGTTCATTATTGACTGTGTACCAATTACTTGTTTATGTCTTGTTTGTGTACAGTTACGTCTTAACAGCATCAAGAAGCTGTCCACAATCGCTTTAGCTCTTGGTGTAGAGAGGACTCGAACCGAACTTCTTCCTTTCCTCACAGGTAAATAAATATACCAGCTGTCTGTCTTGTCATTATATGTATAACAAGTTATTTATATTTTTCCTCGTAACCTTTTTGTTGTCCTTAAGACACCATCTATGATGAGGATGAGGTGCTCCTGGCATTGGCAGAGCAGCTTGGTAATTTCACCATGTTGGTGGGAGGCCCAGAGTACGTCCACTGTCTCTTGGTAAGATTAGCTGTTTTAAAGTTACAAAAATGCTAGCAATTTCTGTAAAATGACATGTTTGTTAATGTATTTTTAAGAAGAGTTGTGTGTAGTTTTTAGGAGTAGCTGGGCTGACTCCTTTTTGTGTGTGTGTTACCCTGCCTCTAGATTTCAAGGTTTCCATGTCCCATTCTTTTAAGTAGTGAGAATTTGTGATTACAATGTTTCTCTTTGAAACAGGGCACCCCTTCAAAAAGCAATATTGTCATCCACAATGTTATATTTATTGTAACTAATGATTATATTGTATGTTGCTGGAGCAGAAGCACTTTTTTTTTTTTACTTGTTCTAACCTCATTCCCTTCTGATACTCAGCCTCCTCTGGAGAGTCTTGCTACAGTGGAAGAGACGGTGGTCAGAGACAAAGCTGTGGAATCCCTACGAAAGATTTCTCAGGAGCACTCTCCAGTTGACCTGGAAGTTCATTTTGAGCCTTTAGTCAAACGACTGGCCAGCGGTGACTGGTTCACCTCTCGCACATCAGCCTGTGGCCTCTTTAGTGTGTGTTATCCTCGTGTCTCCAGCACTGTTAAGGCTGAAATTCGCCAGTAAGTGACCTCGTAAAGGAGGAAAAACATTTGTTTAGTGCTTTAGATTTTTTATTAGCCAATATGCAAAATAGTCAGACATGTTATTTCATGCCTAGCTAAAGGGATTGTTTTAGACAACTAGTTTTATGCTGTATGGTTCGTATTGCTTTAAACTAAATTTGTGATTATTCCCAGGCATTTTCGCACCTTGTGCTCTGACGATACTCCTATGGTGCGTCGTGCTGCAGCGTCCAAACTGGGAGAGTTTGCCAAAGTCTTGGAGTTGGATTATGTAAAAACAGACATAATTCCTCTCTTCACTGCTTTGGCCTCAGATGAGCAGGTATGAGCATTTGTCTTTGTTCTGATCAACTGGTGTTGCATTATTTTTTGTTCAATCTAGGTAAAGTTTATCTGGTAGTTTACTCAGGAATAGCTATGCTGATGCTAATAATTTGTCTCCTTCAGGACTCAGTGCGGCTGCTTGCGGTGGAGGCCTGTGTCAGTATTGCAACTCTCTTGCCTCAAGAAGATCTGGAGACGCTTGTAATGCCAACTTTGCGCCAGGCTGCAGAAGATAAATCCTGGAGGGTCCGTTACATGGTGGCTGACAAATTTTCCGAGGTAAACAGATGCACTCTTCTTTTAGAGATGGATTAAATGTTAGATACTTTTTTATAGTTGTACATTTTAATGATTCAGGTTTCTGAAAGAAATCTGCTTGCACAATTCCCCACCCCTATTATCTTAATTGAAATTTAGCCTAGTTGCGGGGGTTTATATTTCTCAAACTAAATCCAGTTTATCTAGCTGTCATTCTAGCAACGGCGCACCTCACTGTGGAAGTTGTTACTATGTAAAGCAGTTGTGAACTTGCATTTATGTACTTTCTGTAGGGTGTTTATAATTAGATTCAAAGAAAGTACAAACAGCAGTTAAAGTTACCTGTTAAATGAGGTGATCAATATTTGAAATGGTTGTTATACATTTCCAAATATCGGTAAATTAGGGTTAGAAATTGTACTGTAGACATGTGCAGCCCACATGCACGCCCTGGGATGTTGCCTCTACAACTATTGTAATTAATTGTAACTACCTATTTAACGGGTGAAAGAAGACCTCATATATTTGCAGGAAAATAGACTTTAAAGTGACAGTGACATGCATATCATACAAAAAGTGGGGAAAACATCTTAATATTTAAGCGATCTGGTGTAGTACAAACACTTCAGTGACTTTTCTATTACTTGGCTTGGCCAAAGTGAAACAGGAAATGACATCAAAGGGGAACTCTGGTCTCTGTTTATTGAAACAATGTTATTTGGAATCTGACTCTTCTACGTCTCTCGGATAGCGACTGAAAATAATCTGAAGGAACGTCAGATTCTTCACGGCTGTCTGTTGTTAGTCACTGTAGCAGTGCTCCGTTTACCTGCAGGCTTTTCCTTTTGTCATAACTTCTAGTTGCTGTTCATGCAAATATCTCAACGACTGTTCGTCTCAGCAGCGTGATTTATTTTGCAATACATTATTAATGTTACCTTTCTAAAATGCATTTATATTTTTTTTACAAAACTTTGATGTCACAGGCACTTTAATGTCCTGTTGAGCTGTAGTGTTGTGTGAAAAAAGCAGTGTAATCTGTTCTTTATTTTGGCAACTTTAAAGCTGCCACTTAACTGAACCTCCGTGACTATAGTGAAGCAAGATTTTACTGATTTATGCAACATAACTTTCAATTTAACCAGATATGAGGAAAAATATATTTTAGCTGTAGTGGTGTAGAGAAAGTGGTAGTGACAGATCAAGGCTGCACTAAAATAAAATCTCTACAGGCCCACATTGGGATTAATGCTATCCAGAAAAGGTGAATCCTACGTGTAGTTTTCTATATGGTGTTTTTTTGTTTGTTTGTTTTTTACCAAAAAAGTGAATGACTGATCTATTTTAAGTCAGTCAGTCATGTAACATTGTGCTAATACAAGAGGCATTCATAGTTTCACCAGCAGGATGTAATGTAAGCAAGTAGGTAAATGACCTGTTACTGGTAAAGCTTTAATGATTAATGTGTTTGATCTGACAAGCCATCTCACCTCAGGTAAAACTCTGAATAGCAGTGTTCATACTGGATGTTATGTTTTCAACTTATTTATTTAGTTATTTAAAAGATTTTTGTTTTTCCCCTGAATGTAGCTCCAGAAAGCAGTCGGGCCAGAGATTACTAAGAACGACCTGGTCCCAGCTTTCCAAAACCTTCTGAAAGACTGTGAAGCCGAGGTCCGGGCTGCTGCTGCTAACAAAGTCAAAGGTGAGAGGGACGACTCTTGAAAGATAATCTACGTGGTTGGCGTTTGTTTTAGCTTCTAGTCAGGTGTGATTAACATTTTGTCATTTCTTTTTTGTTAGAATTCTGTGAGAACCTCCCAGAGGACAATCGTGAACAAATCATCATGACTCACATTCTGCCCTGTGTCAAGGTAAACTAAAACTTTTCTGTCCACCACATTGTGGCATTTCTTTGTCGCTTCACCTTCTACTTTCACTAGAGCAGGAGTCCCTGACCTTTTTGCAGCACGGACTGGTTTTATGCAAGACCAGCAGCAGCTGTGTGAGGGGAGGTCATTTCGCATAACAAAGCACAATAAAGTGCAAAATGCTAAAATTAGTTTGAGAGCTAAACCGTGCATGAAAGAAACGACAACCGAGTCCAGTGCATAGGCAGAAGTGATCGATTTTCAAAATAAAATACCTTGCAGATTTGCACAAAAGGGAAAAAAAAATCCAATCAAAACATTTATTCTTTCTATGCAACCCAGTACTGGTCCCGGGTCTGGTGGTTGGGGACCCCAGCTCTAAATAATTATTTGAATTGCTGTGAGTGGTTAATGGCATGAGAAATAAAAAGAGGCTTTTTTTTTTTTTTTTTTTTTTTTTTTTTTTTTTTTTTTTTTTTTTTTGTGTGTATTTAATCTTGCAGTGTTTGTATGTCTGTTGGGAGAAGTCATAATTTTACTTTACAGAAAGAAAAAATAATCACAACATTGAGGAATCTCGTTATGATCCAGTTGCTACCCAGTGATTAGTTGTATTCGTTACATTTTACTTGATACTGCATTTTACTTTCAAATATCAGTTTATAAAAATGTTTTCTTCTGTTGAACATCCCACTTTAATACAAACAAAAAGGAAATTAAGAGTACGTACTTCTCTAGGCATCGTCATAGCACTGACAAAATTACTCCCCTTTTTCTACCACCATTGTTGCAGCACATAGACATGGTGTTTGTTTTTGTTTGTTTTTTTTAAGTGAAGTGCTATTTCTCAACAAAAGAATATTCATGTAGACTCCCGCCTTGTGGAGCTGACACTGTTTTTGTTTTTTTTCTTTTTTGGCTTCTCAAAAATGGAGAGAACAGTTTTCTGTATCTTAGTAATTTCTGAGTTTTTAGACGACCGTTTGAGATTGTAAACAAAAAGCCAGTATTACGACCTTTAACATTGTTAAACATACTTATTGGTTTAAGTCCAATTTGTACACACTCTATGCGCTTTGATTAGTTTGATTTTTGATTAATTAATTAAATCTTAATTGTATCTTATTTAGTTTTTTGGCAGTGTATTAAATGTGCATCCTTGTTGTCTTCAGCTTGTGTTGTTCATATTCTGAACAGCAGGTGGCACCATTGTTGTCTGACAGGAGCAAGTTGTGCTTCATATTAGTGTTTTCAATCATTAAAAGTGGTAATACAGGTTTATCTGCTGTTAAATACTTGGATCTAAAAACCATGTTTGTAAATGCTGCCTACCAAACCGTGTCAAAAAGAGTCGCTGCTTATTCTGTCAACATATCAACTGTGGAACTAGGTTATACAGGTAGCAACAAACTTTCACACATTCTTGGAAACTAAAAACATGCAAACACAAGCCCTTATGAGCTGTAAATACAAGTTTCTCTATAGTGAATTTTCTGTTGTCTATTTACACATGGGTTAAATAGAACTCCTTTTTTGATAGATTTTAAATATCACATAGCAGGGGATTAATTTGTTTGCAGTCCTTCCTTATTACTTTTTTCACTGATTTCTCTGTCTCCCTTGTCCCTGACCAGGAACTCGTTTCAGACACCAACCAGCATGTGAAGTCTGCTCTGGCCTCCGTCATTATGGGCCTGTCCACCATCCTAGGAAAGGATAACACAATAGAGCACTTACTGCCTCTCTTCCTGACTCAGCTTAAGGACGAGGTAACTATAATGAAGATTGGACAATATGGGCCCAGTGGTGGGTTTTTGTTTTGTTTGTTTGTTTGTATATATATTCTCCAAACTGGTATTTGTTTAAGAGGATTTGTGATAAAAGCTTCCAAAAAATGGTGAAAGTTTTCTGTCATTGCGTTCTGCGCGGCTGAAACGAGCCACAATGGCAAAGCACCCGACTGCCTCAGGATTAGGAGGGCAGTGATTCATGCAGTTGGCAGTCAAACTGAGACAGACTAATTATGGGACAGTGTAGAGGAAATGGTGATTATAAAAAATTCAACAAATATTAACTACGGTAGATTTTTATTTGTTGGAAGGGAATGTGGGGACTGTACCATCTGATACTAATTTATTAATTTGAACACAATTGTTCGTCTATGTTGCCATTTTTGATTTGTCAGTCGAAGGCATATTTTAAAACTATTCAGTCTTTCAGAACAAAATGTATTATCAATGATTCAAGTGTAAATTGAGTACATTTTGTTTTGGGAAATGAATGTATGTTGTTCTTTTAATCCAATAATCTAGATTGACACAAACTTCTCACATCTTACCAAATGTGTTGCTGTAATGTCAGTTTGGGATGAGCTTTGAGTTTAGTAGGTTAAATACAAAGATAAGTTCTCCCACTGCTGCTCCTTAGACCTATTTAAAGATGGCCCATTTTCTTTAAAGCACAAACATAACGACCAAGAGTGTCTAATTAGATTACAGTGGTGACTGCCAGCTTTGACTTACATATTTTATTGCAAGGTGTTTTTATCAGAGTGTCTTTAAAGCAGACATAGTGGAGGATGTTCTGCAGACTTCCCATGCTTGATGTTTCAATTTGTCGCTATGGTTAGTCTTATTACTTTTCTGTTGTTGCTTAAGTTGTATGTTTAGTTGTGTCCATTAATGTCCAAGTTGTCGGTTTTTTGTTTTGTTTTGTTTAAATTGGGACTAAAGCAGATCACCATGTAAGGCTCTTGTGTATAAACCTGGAAAATTATTCTGGGAAAACAGTTTAGTTGGAAGTTTTGTTTGTTTAGAGAAGCTGAAGTGGCTTTGCTGGACTGGATTTAGGAGATGTTTGTTTGTGAAGGGTAAGAAGCGGTCGCATTGGATGTTTTCTCCAACAACCGAATGCCTGTCTTGATAAGTAGTAGTAATAGTTTTTTACCTGTTGTTTTAGTGCCCTGAGGTGCGTCTCAACATCATCTCCAACCTGGACTGCGTGAACGAGGTGATTGGCATCCGTCAGCTCTCCCAGTCACTGCTGCCAGCTATTGTCGAGCTGGCTGAAGATGCAAAGTGGAGGGTCCGCCTGGCCATCATAGAGTACATGCCTTTGTTGGCAGGACAGCTGGTGAGCAGAATACGAAAACAACTTTAAATGCATCCTAATGCATGTTTTATTTAAAACAGAAAAGTGCTAACTAAATGACTTCAAAGACCTAAAAGTGTCTCTGATTTGTTTCCTCAGGGAGTGGAATTCTTTGATGAGAAGCTCAACACCCTTTGTATGGCCTGGCTTATTGATCATGGTAAGTGTCAGAGCAGACACTCTGAAACACTTTTGTGCTGGTGTGATTGCATTTGCTGGGTGACACGGTGGTGCAGTTGGTAGAACTGTCGCCTCTCAACTGGAACGTCACAGGATTGCATCCCTGCCTGGGGCCTTTGTAGGTGGAGTTTTCTTGTTCTCCCTGTGCAGGTGCGGGTTTTCTCCCGCACCCCAAAAAGATACATGTTAGGTTAACTGGCAACTCTAAATTGTTCCTAGGTGTGAGTATGAATGGTTGTTTGTCTCTGTGGAGACTGTGGACTTGTCCAGGGTGTCCCCTACCTCTCACACAGTGACTACTGGAGATGGACACCTACAGCTCAGAAAGGAGAAGCAGTTAAAGTTAATGGGTGGAAGGTTACACTGGCTTATGCTTATAACTTCAGCACGGTTACATTATTTTTCAAAGTTCTTGATCCCTAAAAGTCTAAAACTGTCACTTGTGTTTTCTGTATGATCACTTGTTCATTCATCTGGCAAGTAAGCAGGCTGTTTTCGTTCTACTCTGATTGTATTTGATTAGCACACCGCTGAACCTTAGTGTTAAAGAGGGAGGCTGGTGAGAACTAGTGCATGAACTGAAACGATTGCAGGTTGAAGAAGGGGTGAGACGTCACAATCAGCAGCTGCCTCTGATTTCTGTGTGCAGCTACATCAGGTCACAAATGTGTGAGATAAATCTGCTTCTGTAGTGACATTTGCCAAGAATAGCTTCTTTCTTAAACCATACTTCCTCTTCAAGACTACCACTTGTAATTAATGTATGTAGTTATTTTTGGACTTTAAAAAAAATCAGTGTTGGTCTGTTAAAAGAAGGAAAAAAAACTGTGTGCGTGCATGTAAGGGGTTACCTCCTCTGCAGCTTAAATGGTTCTTGAAGTCATCACATTCAAGTCCTTTAAAAGTTGTATGCATGTGAACACACCCTGCTGCATGGTATGTCTCTCAGAATCATTACTGTGCAAGTCGTGCTCTCTTGACATTGAGTTTTCCAGTCAGAGATGAGGACAAAGAGCCAGCTGGATTACATCATTGGAATGCTGTTGGTGTGAGTTTCTGTGTGAATGGCTGGGGTTAGAGCTGTGCCACCCTTACATAAGACTACAGAAATCAATTTGTTCCCATAATGACAATTTATGGTGTTTCGCGCTACTCATTCATACATTTACATACATACATATACATACATACATATATATATATATATATATATATATAGATATAGATATAGATAGATAGATATATAGATATAGATATAGATAGATAGATATATAGATATAGATAGATAGATATATAGATATAGATATAGATAGATAGATATATAGATATATATATATAGATATAGATATATAGATATAGATATATATATATATATAGATATATATATATATATATATAGATATATATATAGATATATATATATATATAGATATAGATATAGATATCTCCATCCATTATCTTTACCCACTTATTGCTGGTGCCCATGTCCAGCAATCACTGTGCGAGGGGCGGGGGACACCCTGGATGGGTCGCAAGTCCATCACAGGGACACATAGAGACAAATGACACAAACAACCATTCACTCTCTCACTCACACCTAGGGACAATTTAGAGTTTATATATATATATATATATATAAACAAACATCAATTTTTCTGTGCAAGCCTTGTTTTGGGGCGGGGGTAATCATTTCTACAGTATTTTCAGTAATACATATAATGCGTAGATCATGTATTAAATAATTTTTAGGGTGAGGGTTGATCCTAAAACCAGGAATAAAAGAAAGTTCTAATTATTTTGGAACTAAACTACAAACTTTATTTAATTGACAATAACTGACCCGAAGTGACACAATAGTGACGAGAGGACAAAACACTAAATGTTTGTTTTTTTCCTTTCTTCTTCTCCACCGTAGTGTATGCCATCCGTGAAGCAGCCACCTCTAACTTAACAAAGCTCGTAGAGAAGTTCGGAGCGGAGTGGGCGCAGAACACCATTGTGCCCAAAGTGCTGGGAATGGCTAACGACCCCAATTACCTCCACAGGATGACCACTCTGTTCTGTATCAACGTGAGCCAGCAGCTTTTCTGACTTTCTTCTCTTCCAAGCTGGATTCATACTCTGCGAGAAGTGACCAGATCTGCTCTCCCTGACCAAAACAGCAACATTTTGTTCTGTCATGAGCTCCAGGAGCCCATTATTGACACTCGGTCTGGTCAGAACTTTGTCTCTATGGGTTTTGCATCACATGTTGTGTAGTTGGTCAGAACTTGGTTATGGGCGTGTTTATATGGAAAGGCTGGTGAACTGCAGTGATGTCATTCCTCTTTAACTGCATCTCTGAGGCACAGCTGGTCGAGGTTGTTGGGAAGTCCAGCCATCTTTACAACAGGTCCAGTAAAACTTATAAATACAAGCAATGGGAGAAGAACTGGTGGGAGGAGGTGGTACAGTTTTTGTGCACAGAGACCGTGACTCCTGGAGGGACTGCACCTCAGCTGGGCAGCATAGGGACATGTTTTCTGTGCTCGCTCGTTACTGCACACCGCCTGCCGGCAGCAGTGACGGTCTCTCTGTGACAAGTTGGCAAATTCAAAACGGTGTGTAAAATGTCTGGTGAGAGAAGCAAAAATCTTTACAGGGAAGAAAGTGGCGGGAAGGAATCTGTTCTAGCATGTTCCAGGGAGAGTCTCTTCCTAGGAGTTCTGCTCTGCAGTTTCGTATCGAGTATTATCTGTTCATGCAGAAAACATCTCAACTACGTAGACAAGAGCAGAGGTCTTTACTTCAAACGGCGTATGAGTCCAGCTTTACATGTTTAGGCCAAACTCCATAAATACAACATGTTTTTTTATTCCTGGCCTGTAAACATTGATGTGTTCTGCTCTCAGGCTTTGTCTGAGGCTTGTGGTCAGGATATCACCACCAAACAGATGCTTCCAGTGGTCCTAAAGATGTCCAACGATCAGGTGGCCAATGTGCGGTTCAATGTGGCCAAGTCTCTTCAAAAAATCGGACCGGTCCTGGACAGCAAGTATGTTATCTGTTTTAATTCTAAACAGAAACCCTGTTGGGTCATTTTAAAGTCAACAACGACATTTGATGTTATTTTTTTATTTGAACCTTCAGCGCCCTTCAAACAGAAGTGAAGCCAGTGCTGGAGAAGCTTGCCTCCGACTCGGACATGGATGTCAAGTACTTTGCCCAGGAGGCCATAAGTGGTGAGGTTTCCTCCTCAGTTATTGTAGAAGGACTTTATCACATGACTTGTACATTTCAAACATTAACAGTGCACTAAAGGTTTTCTTCTTCTCTGTCTCTCCACAGTTCTGGCCTTGGCATAATCAACCCAACATGTCTAAACCAGAGAACCCCCCAGAAACAACAGTTCTCCAATATATTTATTGATGTTCAGGAACACCTGGTTATTGTATAGAAAATGCCCCGCCCCCCTCCCCCACACAACTTCTTTTTTTTTTTTTTTACTTCCATGTCTAGTCATTCAGCACAGGCTTCTTTGTCCACTCTCTTTGCTGTAAATTGGAGCTTTTATTCGAGCAAAGTATGATTTAAAATCAAGTGGTGCATGTTGATTAGTGTGCTGCTGTACTCGCTAGACATCTCTAACCAGAACCCTTTTCACATTCCTCCCCTCCTTTACCTCTCCCTCTAACCCACTGTTGTTCCTAAGCTTTGCTGCAAACTGTGTGTGTTTGAGCAGGACCCTGTTCTGCTGGACTTCCCTCTGTTGGATGGAAACGTTTGGCTGCAGCTGGTGCAACAAGCTAAAAGCAAACACTTTGATAAGCTTCCTCCTAATTCAGCCCTTCGACTGAACTCTGTCCCCAGAGGTACAGATGTTGCTCTTCACAGAAGTGATTGAAACATCTGTGTAGGTCGATTAGTTTTTGTTTGTTTTTTTTTTCCCACCAGACCAAACCCGTTGTTTCCTAAATGCTTTATAGGATCGAATTGTACAAATCCCTGAGAAAGAACGGTGTACTCCTCGGCCTCACGCAGTGTACTTTCCCATGTCCATCCACCAGACCGTCATGTCCTCCTGCACTGCTTGTTCCCTGCAGTGGCACACATTGGTGAAACAGAAGATGTGTAATGGGGACCAGCCCAGTTTAGCAATTACTCATAATTACCTCTCATCTAAATCCTGATGGTTTTGTTGATGAACCAGAGTGGAAAGCAGTAGTCGGTTATGATTTTCAGCTTAATGTTGGCGTCGCTCTTAATCATTGTGCTAACGATTTTGAGAAGTACTTTTTTGTTGTTGTTTTTGTTTTTTTAAGTCTGCCTCGATTGTTTTGGTCCTGCCTTGTTGTGTAAAGTGACAGCATTCTGTTTAACGCTGCGTAAAACTAAACTAAGAACAGCTACTAGAATAAAACCATAAAACTGTTCCACTCCATTTTTGTTCTCAATTCTTGCCGAGTTCTGGGATGAGGAAGTGTCGAAGCACGAGGCTCCTCCTCGACAAACCTTTGAGCAGGTGGAGATGCGTGCCGTCAAAGAACGATTGGGAGCTGGAATGTACATAAAACTTGATTGTGTTTTATTTTGGGGGTGGGAGCTGAGAGCGCTTATAGGACGGGCTGTGTTGATAGAAATGTTTCTTTCCCCGAACAACTCCTACTCCTCTTCCCTCCTCCTGTTCTCTCAAGTAAACCTTGATGGTTGATTGTTCTGTATCACAAACTGCTTTGATTTGTATTTTGAGTTCTGTTTCCAGTTGCTCTGCTGTACCTCGATCCAAATAAAGTAACACAAACGAGTTGTCGCCAGTTGTCTGCACCACAGTCTCGACAACAAGAGATTATTGGCAAATCAAGTATTTAAAATCTTTTAGTGCCTGTAAAACACGTATACTGTTTTAAAAGGTACGTAAAACTGTTTTTTAAGTACGTTTGCATCAAGTTTTGAGTCCTTGAAAACAGGTGAGCTGTGAGAAAACAATTTCAGTTAGAGCTAATAAACATCATCTTACCTGTTGTAGATGGTTCTTTAATCTGCTTCAGTTTGGAAAATGACTTCAGTTGTGACTGGATGGACCTTCTCCATGACACATTTTGACTTAAAGTAACTGAAGCGCATCTGAATGACCAATTCATTTCACTGGACTTCTGTTTGAAAGCATTCTTCATAAAATTAAAAACAGATGGACTCACTTCCTGTTTTCAAGTCATCTGAAGTTTTCTCCACAGGGTGTCTGGGCTCTCCCTCAGAGATGAGGTGAGAAGCTCAATCATCCGGGAGGGACTCTGAGTAGAGCCGCTGCTTCTCCACGTCCAGAGGAGCCACTTGAGGTGGCTTGGGCATCTGTGCCTCCTGGACGCCTCCCTGGTGAGGTGTTCTGGACACGCCCCACCGGGAGGAGACCCAGGAGGCACCATGTTTCTCACCTGGGAACACCTTGTGGTAAAGGCTGCACAGAAATCTGTTGGAATCAGCCTCCCCACCATCACAGACATCTACACCTCTAGATGCAGGAAGAGGGCCACCTGCATCATGAAGGACCCCACTCACCCAGCACACACACTTTTTGCCCCACTCAGGAAGGAGGTTAAGGAGCATTAAGTGTAGAACCACCAGACTGAGGAACAGCTTCTACCCTGAGGCTGTTAGACTCGTGAATCTAACTAGAATAATCACTGTGAAAAACCATATGTTGCTGCTGATCTGTTTCATGTTGCTGCTGATCTGTTTCAATGTTGATGTGTTCATGCGTGCACATCTGCTCACAGACTCATGTTCATGTTAGTGCTGATGTTCAATGTTTTATGTTATGAGTGCTTAGTGTATATTTAGTTGATGTTTTTCTTAGTTCATATCTTAGATGTTATTACTGTTTTTCTTATACATTTTATTGTTGGATGTAACTGGGACCCTGTGTACATAATTTCGCTCCACCACATGTACCACATGAGGTGCGAATGACAATAAAGAAACTCTGACTCTGACCTTGGGATTCCCCCGGAGGAGCTGGCCCAAGTGGCTGGAGAGAGGGAAGTCTGGGCCTTCCTACTTGAGCTGCTACAGACGCTGGATTAGCAGAAGAAAATGGACAGATGTCGCTCTCCCACTCTTTTCTGTAACTTCTATTTTCCCCACTTCATCTTCCTGCTAGGTTTATCACACCTGATCCACCTGCTGCTAAAACTAGAATAATTTATGGCGCCGCCTCACCTGTAATTGTTGTCAACGCCCTAGCAGGTGACAACAGCCAATCGGTGATGGAGAAAGTTCAGGGGAGCTTCGCTATGACCCAATAATGATGAAGGATTGGTTGAAACATGTTTAATTTGTGAACTCAAACTGCCAATCTGGCTCCAAAGCAATTTACCACAAAGTCAATGAAACTGGCAACACTGGAATTTTTCTAAAGGGCGGGAAAATTGCATGGACTCTGTGTTGCTGAATTAGTGAGAGGACAAGTTCAATATGAAAGTTTAATAGAACGATGTGATTATTAACATTGATTTAAAGGCTGAGCTTTGCTTGAATAAATGCAAAATGTTAAGTTTTAGATGTACAGCCACTGTGAGTTTCACTGAAGTGGTTCATGAGATATTTTACTAAAAGACAGACTTGTTGACGCCAACTGTTAATATCAAAGTTTTAAGACAAAATGATGTATCACACCAAATTTTAGCTTAATATCTTTAATCTATAAAATTAGCTGAGTTAAGGTCCTTTTTTTCTCGATAAGGTCACTTATCTGTGGCGGCCATCTTGAATTGGGTTGACTTTAATACAGGTGATCAGTTAACGGTATTTGTTTTGTGAGTTTTATCCAAATCCATCCACTGGTTTATGTGATATTTCGCTAACGGACAAACACAAGCAAAACATTCCTGCTTTCATCTTGGGCAGCATGCGATAACGATGGTGAGCATCCTGCTTTGTTTTTTATTTGTAATATTTTACATCCTGCAGACACCCCAGGAACACGGTCTGATGGGCAGTTGCTGAGGAGATGAAACTGAGGATCCTCTGGACTGTTTGGACCACAGGCCTGGGCTGAGCAGGACTGCTGAGGGCTGGCTGAGAGTGGAGTATGGTGGGAAAATAAAAACATGTTTGAGTTTTCTCAAGCAGCTTCAAAATGCTCTCACTGGTATTTATTTTAGATAATTTGCAAAAGGGCAGTGGAGGACTAGGATTAGGGCAGTAAATGCATGGCACAAATCCTAACTTTTTCCTTTTTATTAATCTCCTGAAATCTGTCTTAGCCCTCTTTGTGCTTCCCCAGTGCTGTAATGGTGTGGCAGCACATTTTCAAGTCATACAGAGCATGTCAGCTTCAAGACACGCTGGAGAACAGATGCCAGTGAAGACCAGTAAAACAAAACATGATGTAAAAACTAAATCTGAACGTTTTTTATCATGTTGATAGTAAACAAGTCTCTAAAAAAAGTGTTTTCTTATCTGTGCAGCTAGAGTTACAGAAAATAAATCACCTTGGCAACGTCCACAGAAGATCCAATTAAGTTTGCAGACAAAATGTTTTTGTTTATATTGAGTGCGTACCCGCAGTTCTAACAATACATCTGGAAAACTACAGGAGTGAACTCCCTGGCTGACTTACCCCTGAAATTCTCTTTAGTTCATGAGGTAATAAAAATAACAGCAAACTTTATTTATTTATTTTTAAATTGTATTTAGATCCACATATTTGTGTGTGGGGGGGAGGATTTTCAGCAGCTGCAGCCCCTGACAGAGCTGAGAGCCTTGACGTCAATGCAGCTGCCTCCCAGGACTGTGTCATTTATGATGAAAGGAGTCAAGCAAAGCCCCCACACAGCATGACACACGCACATGCACACACACGCTCAGTGAGGTCAGATCCTCTCAGGATGACAGATGACAAACAGCAGGCCCCCCCTCAGCCTGCTCGTTTTCTTCAAGTCACCTTGTCTTTTCAGCTTCCTGCGTCTCTTCCCATCATGTCTTCTTCCTCTGCAGGATCAGAGGATCACTCAGGCAGAACGTGTTTGACTCCATCTTCCAGCTCAGAGGCATTTCTGGACCCGACTTTTTTTTTCCAGGCATTTTTGGGTCATGTGAGCTGGGACTTTTTAGACTCCGTCCATCTGCTGGCCAGCATGTGCTCAACTCAGAGACGGGGAAAAAGATGCAAAATGACCTTTGAGAGAGACCTAACACAAACCAAATCTCTTTTTTTCTTTTTACTTTTTTTTGTTGCAAATTTAAAAACTTTTCTCGTGTATTAATTAAACGGCTTGATGCAAAAGTTAATTTTCAGATCACCCCCATTGTTGCACAACTGTAATCCCAAATGGTGCGGTGAGCTCCTGCTTTAAAACAGACGCAGTAGGATGTTGTCATCCACCCTCCTCCGGTTGTCATGACAACCATTGATGTCACTACTGTATACTTTGGCCCTCTCAGTGCAAAGGGGCCTCTGATATTGTGATTATTTTACTGAAAAAAGAAGAAAAGCATCCCCCCCACGCATGCACACACAGCAGCTTTCTTTATTCTGTCTCGTCACAGGAGTGTGTGTGTGTGTCAGTCAGCTGGAGATCTCAGCAGCAGCTATAAATAACTGCATTTCATTGGAAAAAATGATGGTGTTTGGGGGGGGGGGCGGGGGTTACAGAAAAAAAAATTGCCACTGATATGAGGTTATACTACAGCGTGACTTTTCACACCAAAGGAGGACGTGAGTGAAAGAAAATAGATCAGTGTGCTTTTTTTTCCCCAGCTCTCAGTCAAACATCTGAATTGTAAAGACAGGGTTGGAGGAGACGTGGGAGGACATGTTGGTGGTGGTGGTGGTGGTGGTGGGGGGGGGGGAGGGGGTCAGGTGAAATCTGATCATCGTAGGTGAGAAGCGTGAGCCCCTCACCCTGGACCCGCAGCCTGCTGTGTGCATGGTTCCAACCCAGGAAAAGAAGAGAAACCCAGGTTTCCATGAACACCCCCCTCCCCCCACCCACCCCCTCTACTGGTGGGATTAGCTGTTCTCAGGCTGAGTGGGTTTATTGGATTGACATGTTGGTTAGGAACAAACCTCTGTCCTCCCACAGCCTTGAGAAGTCCCTCTGCTGTCTGGTTTAGTGTCACACACTGCTGTCATTTAACTGGACTGGTGACCAGTCAGACTTTAGTTTTTTGTTTTTCCCACCAGTGACTAAGATGCTAATGCTAAATAATGACGATGTTTTAAATAAGAGCCAAACGCTGGAAGGGTTCAGTCCTTCCTGCAGGATAAGGCTAACCTTTGGAGTCAACCCAGTTCAAGATGGCCGCCACAGCCAACACAACAATGGCTCTACCTCAGTTTCACACAGCGAGGTCAAATTTGGCACGGTAGTAGCTGAGAGTCATTCACAACAAACTCTCTGAGTGTTATCACGAGAGCTCAGGCTTCGTTACAAGGCTGGTCCAAAATGGCTGCAGCTCTGTCACGACTTTGGTTTCTGGCAAAAAAAGCGGAGAGTGACGTTCATTCCTTGAAGGAATAATGGTCTGACCACCTCGGGTGCTTTTTTATTTCTGGATGAAGTGATTCAAGGCTCCGCTGTGACTCGACAGTTTATAACCGAGTGCTCAGTGAGATCCATTTTTCCAGGTCGGTAACTCTCGCCCACACTGCTGAACCCTGGGGACCTATCAGACAGCTGCAGTGTGAAGATACAGCACCGCTGGTCTGGATGAGAACAGGAGTGTGTGTTTGTGAGAGAGAGATCAACTCTGCATTTACGTTTCAATACCCAGGCCCATGAAAAGGTGAAGGCAGGTGGCTGC